TCAGGAAAAAAAAAAAGTCCTTTTTGCTCTTACATCTGTGAGTTACAGGATTCTCTCATCTGATAGTAGTGCATCTTAATAATTACACCTCTAGGACAACTTCCAGTTTTTGGAGTGAGGGAAAAACCGGTCTTAGAGCTCCATCAATAGCTACTTCTGCTTTAAATTCAGTGCATCTTAATTTGCACCAGCAGAGGAGGTTTCCTTTATTCAAAAATTTTCAGAAACTCTTTATTCTCATATTATTTCCGCACTAAGTCAAGTCATTTCTTGCCGTCTCTTTTTGAGCTGCTTGATCTAAGGAGTGAAGATTCAGGACTGCATCAGTAGCTTCTCCAATTCCAGGTTCCACAGTGCGCTTACCCTCTGACCAAGCTGGACAATTTTAAATATTTTTCAGGGCTGGGAGTTTAGTTTTAATACTGTTTGGATAGCTTTAGTTCCAAGGGAAATAACTGTATATCAGTTTAACTGCTGGAAGTCTGTGCTTGTTTTTCCATTTTTAACTTTCACTCAAAGCTGCAGATCTTCAGAGGGTGGCAAGCTATCACTGTGTTAAATACTTAAGAAGTGGAGGGACCATATTTTAGGGAATGGGAACTGGGGAGGTTGTTAATGGAAGCAGATTCTGTAGCCGCTAACTCAAAGTTCAAGTTCAAACTGTCATCCTCAGTGGGTCCACCTGACAGGCTCAGGATCTACAACTGTTAAGATTTAGGCCTGGTCTACACTTAAAAGTTAGGTTGACATAACTACGGCACTCCCAGGTTTGAAAATATTCACACCCCTGAGCACCATAATTATGCCAACCTAACCCCTGGGATAGACATGGGTAGGCCAACAGAAAACCACATTCCATTCCCATAGGAGGCATCTACACTATGTTGCTACAGTGGCACAGCTGCACTGCCATAGCTGAGCCATTGTAGTGCCCGCATTAACAAACACGGGCCTGACTTACCAACAGGATTTCTGAATAAGGTATATATAGATAATCATAGTTCCATCAAAAAATAAATCCAGGCAGGTCAATCAGCTGGTAGACATTCCACTTCTGACCAAGAAGATTGATTTGAGGACACTTTTTAATTCCAGAACCAGTAGGGTCATTCCAATTTCTCCTGTGACACAACCTACATTCAAATGAAGTTATGGGCTTCCTATGATTTTGTAAAGAATTCAGCATGTCCATCGGACTACTTTACACTGGTATATTTAGCCTCTTTTCACTTCCTTGAAGTGAATATACAGTGCGTATGTTGTCTCTCCATCTGAAGTCCTGGAAAATGGTGATCTTAGTAGAGTTATTTGAGAGTGTTTTTAATCCGTGCTAGCTGCAGGATCTTATCCATATCCCAGGAATTGAGAAGAACAATAATTCACATCTCAAAGCTATTGTTTCATGCTGTTTACAGTCAGTCATTAAAACTGACTTTTTGCCAAAGTAATTTTCACCCAAACAAAGCCTCAAAACTTCTTCCTCCCTCATTGGTCTCCATAGAACTTGATAGCCTTAACGTAATCTTCTGTTACATGTTTGTACAGTTCCTTGCATAATGGGGTTCTGGGCCATGATTGGGGCTCCTAAGTGCTACTGTGATACGAACAATAAATATATCGTAGACCAGACATCCTTATCAAAATTCACACACCAGAATTTCCTCTTTCCTCCCTCACCAACAGTTGAGATGCACTTTCAAATGAAAGCAACAGAGGGTCCTGTGGCACCTTTAAGACTAACAGAAGTATTGGGAGCATAAGCTTTCGTGGGTAAGAACCTCACTTCTTCAGATGCAAGTGGAAGACTTTCAAATGAATATCAAGCATCCCATTTCCCCCCTTCCTTCAGCAATGTAATTCCCTTCACATGATTTTTCCTCACTTGCCTTCACTCCCTTAAGCTGTGTTCACACTAGAAAAAAAGATGTGTTAAATGACAAGTTAAAATACAAATTGCCTTGTCTACACCAGGGACAATCCCAGCATGCTAGTTTTCCATTTCTAGTCATACTTGCCATTATTTAAAAAAAAATTACTTTTTAGTTAAAATAAAAAATCTCATCCCTGTATGAATTCCAAATGATATCTGTTTCCTTCAGTTAAGAAGATATATACATTTTTTAAAATTTTTAAACTCGTTAGCACTGCAAAATCAATATAAACTACTGGCAAGTGTACTCCCTTCTTTGGTGGTTTGCACATAGTCATTAAAACTGTTAGCTAAGTTCCAAATACAGAGTCTCTATTTCAGAAGGTGATGTGCAAGACTGATAGACACATGCTGGCTTTTACATCTCAGCTTGAGTTTGCATGGCTGTTCGAAAACCATCTCTTTTTTCTGTGAAGTGCAAAAATTAGATCCAGTTGTTATTGATGCTTTGTCTGCACTGGAGAACTGAACCGTTTGTAATTAGTCATTTTCTGCACCAATTGAGACACAAACAATTCAGTGCATCCACATTAGGCATGCTGATCAGTTATCTTTCTCCAAGGCATCCACATTGGCATTGCCTTAAACCATTTCATCTCAAATGCCTTAGGAGTACTTATCTTCACCACAGAGGGGTGTCAGGATCCAGTTATTTGTTAGATCTTTCTCTAGGCACCTTCCCCAGGCCCTGTGAGGGATAGAAATGGGGTGTGGGAGAGGAATGGACAGCACAGCTAAGCTGTCTTGGACCTCTCCCCAGCCCTACTTCTCTAAGGGAAATGACATACCTCTGCCAATGGCCCCACCAGCCAATGAACCACAGTTGGTTTGCTAGCCAAGGACCAAAATAGGGGGGCACTAGTGAAGAAAAAAGGATATATCTAAGGGATAGAAAATGCAGTGTGGTGGCCAATAATCATTACTCAGGGGAAGCCCTCATCTTTCTCTGCTACACTGCTCTCAGAGGGTACATCAGAATTGTTTCACCAACTGAGGACATGAGCAGGGGGGAACTTGTAGAGGTTGAGGGCATTTCTGGAGGGGAAATAGGGGAGATGATTGGGGGGCAGAGAGGAGACTCTTCGGTGGTGAACCAAAGGTGGTTTGCCAACTGAGGCAGCTATTGAGAGATAGTTCCTCTATCCACACTGACACAGTTGAGGCAGGAATAACAAAATCAGTTGTTAACCCCCAGAAATAGTGTGTGAGAAATGTTCCTTAGAACTGAATCACTTGTATGTGGATGTTTTACACCTTTCAATTGAGTAAAGGGGAACAAATATTACTGAGCATGGTAAGTTTTTATACTGTATAGAAGGCCAGAGACACAATGTGGAATTCCAAATACTGTGATGGTGGGAGCTTTAGAAATGTGTAGCAATATTTTTTGTTTTCAAACACAAACTTAAGAGTAAGACTGCACAGAGATCTGTGTTGAAAAATTCCACTAGCTAGGCTGAGGGGCGCCTTTTGCTCAAGTGTATGTTTTAACTTGCCTTTTTGCTTTTCATTTTCTTCCCGCTGTGAAATCCCTTTTCACATGGTACTTCACTGAAGTTCTAAGAGCGTGTCACTGTAACACTGGGTATCATGAGCTATGAAGAATCTCTGGGTATCTGAAATCCTAGAATAAAGCACTCAGAGAACTTTAGTGAAGCAGGAACTGAAAGGTGGATTTTGGAGGGGAAAGGAGAAAGACATTTTAAAATGCAAGATAAGACTTATTCTGCTGCTGAATACTTTCCTAAAGCCTAGTGGAGACATTCAGAAATCAAGTCTGTGCTCCCCACAATTTTCATTTCAGCTTGCATTTCATCAATATGGGCAGGAAAACATTTGTTGGTGGTTCAACAAGATAGAAACGTACACAGGAAACATGATTCAAATTGAAGGGATAACTTACAACGTTATTCTAATTTGTTTTTAGCTATTTCATCTCTAATTATAAATCATACCTTTCTACCAGCAAGCAAACCCTCAACCCCTTAATGTGCTGAAGCATTCTTATTCACACTTTGAAAAATGAGAAGTTTTGATTGGCAGGTTAAATTTAATTTTTCTCCTGGTCTGACGTAGCTACCGCAACATAAAGGGTGTTCAGTGCTTTGAAAAAGCATAGATGAAAAGAGTACGTAGGGAATTCTTAACTGCAGAAAGTTAAAGGATTTATAATATCTTTAGAAATAATGCATCACTTTTACACCATAAATGTCATCTCATTCAAGGCACTGGCAGAGGCAACACTATTAGACACAGTACCCCCAACAATACAAATTAACATACAGAAAATTTATCTCCAAATTGTGTGTTTTATATTTCTACAATATTTATGGTCTAAAATAATTTAAATGTGATTTTTAGTTATATTTTTCATTAGCATTCATCAGAAAGCCTAAAAGGCTGAAGTCAAGAGATTTTAAAAAATCCTTTATTCTGATTGGAAGAAACTGACTAATACAATATATAATAGTGATTAAAGGCCAGAGGAGTCTAGAACTAGGCTCCATATAATGTTGCAAGATGAAATAGTTTTATTTTCATTTTGAATTTCTTAGGTCTCGATATTACTCAAGCTCATGGTATTCATGTATCATAATACAGAGTTTATTTCTGAATATTTATTTAAAAAAGAAGTAATAGTAAATACAGGGCCTGAATCTCTACTGACTTGCAACTTATATAGTCAGGGCCGGCGCAACCCTAGGGCACTAATATTTGCGGGGCAGCGACCACGGCGGCCAGATCTTCGGCCGCCCCGGTCGTTGGCGGTATTTCGGGGGCGGGACCTTCCGCCGCCTCTGTCGGGGGCGG